GTTTAGGCCCATATTCTCATGTCATGCTATACAAGCTGTAGTTCTTTTCTCTAGAGAGATAACCACAGTTCCCAAATTCAAGAGGCTGAGTAGTTGTATTTTTAAACTTTGGGTATGCAGATGAACACTCTTGCTTTATCTCCACTGGGGGTAGAACCTTATATTAATGGCTCCTTAGTACTAGATTCACTGTGATCCCAAAGTAATCACCTTGCTCAACTCTCTTCACACATATTGCCTCAATCTTTTTGTAGCATGCAGTATTCTTAAACTAACTGAACATTTCTTGAAAGAGGGATATCAATTGAGTGCAGTGGCTGGGGTCTCTTGTTCACAATGTCTTTTGCTACTGCAGCCACCAAAGTGATTCTAGATATTTCTCTGAATAATTTAACTTCTTTTGTTATTGTGATAGATTCTAGCCCTTATATATAATCTACATTATCTAAGCATAATTTTGAAGAAAAATATGAATTGTTTTTATATACTTATCTTGAATAAGAATATAAAAACTATATACTTATATACTCAATATTTGAATCACCTTGTGATTCAAAAGTAAACATTATTTTGCACTGAAATAATTATTTCTGACCATATATAAGACAATTCATGTTAATAAACTAACACATGATATGCATATTTAAGTTTCCTTTCATAAAAATGTTTACAGTAATGTGTTAGATGTGTTGGCCAAAAATGGCACCAGATTTCTTTCTTTTATTCTTAATTCTGTTGAGTAGCAATTAAAACACACAACTCCACGACACAGAGAGACGCCTACAGTAGCATCACTCCCTCCACCTTGGCAGTTGCTAAGGATGCAAAGGTGGTGGTGTATGCAGCACCTTGTTATGTAGTTCATTGCTAAAGAAGATACGGACTATTGAACTTAAGTTCATGTTAAATATAAATATATTTATGTCAGTAATATGGAGATTAGATAGGGTATAATTATATAATAAAAATATCTGAGTTTCTCTCCTGTCAATTGGATGATATGTATGATGTTTAATAATTTGATGTGTCAAAAATTTTATGTGTTATGTCACCCTGGTGTTTGGTCAAGCACTAGATGTCTATGTAATGATATTATTTAACTTTGACAGTTAGTAAACTTTGCATAAAGTAAGTAGTGTGGTTGGGCCTCACCCAGGTGATTTAAAGTTCTAACTGCAAAGACTGAGGTTTCCCAATCAGAAGCAATTGTCTCTCAAACTGTAATGTCAACTTCTGCTTGAATTTCTATTTCCTGAGCTGCTCTACCAATTTGGGGCTTGCAGGGCCTGCCAAATAGCTCAGCAGACTAAAACACCTGCTTAGGCAGAGTGCAGCGGCAGGGGTTCGAACTCCAGCTTGCCGTGCCGTCCCCGTTCCCGGGGCGCGCTGAGACAGTGACTGAGACTGGGCGTGGTGACACGCTCCTGTAATCCTAGCGCTTGGGAGGCTAAAAAGGAGGATCACTGAGTGAGTCTATGTAGTGAGACCCTGTAGACGCTGTAGACCCTGTCCTAAATACATTTAAAAAAAAGACAAAAGAAAAAAAAATGAGGACTTGATAGGCCCCATAATTGCATAAACCAATTCCTTAAAATCTCCCTCTCCCTCTCTCTCTCCCCCTTCCCTCTTTCCTCTTTTTCCTTATCTTTCTTACATAAAAATATCTGCTGTTTCTCTGGAGAATACTAATACTTAGTACTATGAAAAGTTTTCCAAAATAGTCCACTTAAATCGAATGATTTGTATCATCTATAACCAAGCTGGCTTGTGACGGTGCTTCATGCTCAGGGTTTATTTTGCAGGCATTGCAGACGCTGCGGGAATACTGGGTTATGCGTTGGGTTATGCAATAGGAGCACCACAGCTTAAGTCTTCTCAGAATAGCACTTCTCAAACAAAAAAGTAAGCTACTTTCTTGCCCTTTTCTTTTAGTTTTCATGTGTAAAGTATTGGTTGAATTGACCTGTCAGCATATAAATATATATGTATTTAATTAATAATAAATATATTTTGAGAAATATATTTAAATGTGATGGCTATACATATATATATGTTAAAAACAAATGTATTTTGAGTTTTCATGCTTAAAGTATAATTAAAACCATACTCATTATGGCAGACTTACTTTTTTTTTATGGTACCAGGTATTAAACTCAGGACCTTGTGCTAGCTGGGCAAGTACTTATTCTGCTAAGTTATCTCTCTGGCCTCAGACTTACTATTAATTTATCACATAGTTTTCAGTAAAAGGCACACAGTGTCTTCACCACTTTCAAGTGTACAGTATAGTAGTTTTAACTATATTCATGTTGTTTATAAGAGATATGTAGAATTGTTCATCATCCAAAACAAATATTCTATATCCATGTGGCCGCAGCCACTATAATTTATCAACTCTCTTTCCCCTTTCTCCCCAGTCCCTGGTAACCCTTATCCTAATTTTTTTTTTTGTACTGGGAACCAAACTCAGCACCTTGTCTTGGCAGGCAGATACTGTGCCAATGAAATATATTCCCAGCCCTTAATTTGTTTTTAGAAGACTTTGATTATTTTAGATACTTTATATAACTGATATCTCATGATAATTATTCTGCAACTGGATTGTTTAACTTTTTACAAAAGTCTTGCATTTTTATCTATATGTAGCATATGACAGAATTGATATATTTTGAACAGTCTTTGTATGACAGGAGTAAATCTCAGTTGATCATGGTGCATATTTTTTTAATATGTTGTTGACTCAATTTACTAGTATACTTTTGATTATATTTGCATCAGTACAAATCAGTGTGCATAGTCTATAGTTTTCTTGTAGCATCTTTACTATTTCTGTAAAGGCAATAGTTAGGAATTTGAAAATATTCCCTCTTGTTCAATTTTAGAAAATTTTTGAGAACTGTTATTAATTCTTATTTAAATGGTTAGTACAATCCTACAGGGAAACCATATAGTCTTATGCGTTTGGAGGAAGGTTTTTGATTACTGATTATTGATTTAGTAGTGAGAGATATTTTCAGATATTTATTTCTTTGTGATTCAGTAGGTTGCATGTTTTTAGAAAATTATTAAATTCTTTTAGTTTTTTTTGCTATGTAACTATTAATAGTCTTTTATAATTGACTTGTATCTGTGAAATCTGTTGGAAAGATTTATTTTCATTTGACTTTTGTTATTTTATCATTTTGTGAATTCAGCTCTGCCAATTTTGATCTTTCAGGAAATAACTTATTTTGACCTTCCTATTGTTTTCCCATTGTCTGTTTCATTATTTCTTGTCTTTATTTTATTTTTCTTTTTGCTATACACATTTTAAAGCTGTGTTTTAGTTATGTATTGAGGTAGTAACATCTTTCTTCTTTTTTGTTATTGAGATATTGAGCTTATTAAAGAAGCTATACTTATCACTACAGTGAGACATAAAAGTTCACATTCTATCTCTGAAATGCTAATATCATATCTAAGATAGAATATATGAGTACTATAGTATTATTGATTAGCTAACCTGTTTTGTGATTATTTTACTAGAAATAGTTCCTTGTTCAGTCTTCAAATTATCTAGCGTAAGTACAACATCTTTTCCTACCAGCATATCAATTGTTAGTGGAAGAAGTTTAAGAAGTAACAATAAAATTCCGGAACTAGGTTACCTATTGGTATAAGAAGATAATGCCATTTAAGGTAACTTTGCATAGTTACTGAATGATCACAGGTTGTAGAAAAGAATAAAATGCCTGGTAGATCAAGGCTTTGAAAAATTTTGCTATATCACTTAATAGTTTAGGTGACAATTTTTTTAAGACTTCTGAATGATATAGTTTATTTTAATGATAACTAGAGAATGCTCCTAAAGAAAAGAAGTTAAATATATGATTTCTAAGACAATGCTATAGCTCTAGTTAACATGTTTTGAAATAAAGTAAATCTTTCTAGTGGGTAGAACTCCAGGCTGGTTTTCTACATAGAATATAGGAAGGGATGCTTAAGGTCTGTATTTATACTGATTTACCTTGCTTCTGTCAGGTGGTATGGACAAGAATACAAGGACAAATTTCTTTGAGTACCCATGGGAAGAGAGTATTTTTTTTTTGAGGACAGCCTCTCATCAGTTTAACAAGAAGTGTCAATCAGCTTCTCCCTCCCCCTCGCCCCGCCACCTGTCCCCTTTTTCACTGCAGTCCTTCCTCAGACCCTGACAGTTGAAACTGGCCTGATTATATAGACAAAGTAAAATGGACATCTTACCATGGACTTCATAGCCCAAGGCAGTCTCTCATCAAGAATGTTCACCAAGAGTGTAGTAGCGCTCTGCCAAGGGTCCAGTTGTCAACAACGGTGGGAGGTCATGCTCGTGTTCCTCGTATGCTGTATTTACTGAGAGAGCAGCCCGACAGGAGGATAGACATAGACCTTGCGACTAGGTAGTGAGGCGGCAATGATCACAACTAGTTTTTGTTTTTATTTTCCTCTATTTTTTTTCCTAACAGTTTATGTGATGAATCCTAGTAATTTATAGTGACTACCCTTGACTGGATTTCCTCAGATTCAGAGCTTGTGACAAAGCTGAGTAGACATGCTTCACTTAAGAGGTCATAACAATCAGTATGGTAGACATTGGAGAACTGAGCAAAGCAAGGGAAGACAGGGCCTCTGGTGTGGACATCTGCCAGTCTAGGGGACTGAAGATATGTTTTAGTCAGCACTGTCTTTGATTTGTATGTGTGATCTTGAGCCGCGGGTCCTCCTGCAGCAGCTCTAGGCAGCCCTCAGAGCTGCAGGCCTGGCTCCCGCCCCTCTGTCTTGCAAGCCTCAGCAGGCTGTGTACTCAGGGTGGACTCCAGCAAGGAGACATTTGATGGCCACCGAAGTGGTCACCCCTGTCCTCCATAAGTCCTCAGCGGCTCAATACAGTTTAACTGTATGCTAGGGGGAAACAAAACAGAAGGATAGATGCTAACAACTGTGAAAATTTTCCCTAAATGGCTAAGAATTATCAATTACAGCAAAATACTGGAACTTTAAAATCACTACGAGAAAGAAAAAAATGAACAAATCCTACGCAAGATGGTTCATATTCTGTCCCCTGCCATCACCACTCCAGGCTTCTGTGAGAAGCCCTGCAGAACAGGAAATGCTGCGGGGAGAGCAGGGGACAGAGAAGCTAAGAAAGGGTCCCAGCAGGGACTTAGAAAGATATCGAGACGGACTCATCCTACTAAAACTGAGAGTTCAGACAAGAGAGTGGGAACAAAGGATTCCAAATACATGATTTAAAGGGTGAGATGCCTTTATGCAACTTAAAGATCAGGCTTTTCCTGACAATTTAGAGGCATGATTTAAAGGGGCAAGAGCAATTTTAAAGAAGACTGAAAGATTTTCCAAATGCAGAGCTCTGATGGAGAATAAAATTAAATAGGAAGAAACAGGAGTATTTTGGGAGAGGAAAGGAAAGAGGAAATATGATCCTGGGAGACAGAAGAGATACATAATTGGAAAACCAACAAGAGCTATCTGTCAACAAAACCAGCAAACAATAGCTACAAGTTCTAAATTAATGCAGATTAATAAAAAAACTTCCCATTTGCTCTCTGATTGATTACGACTTTGTTTCTAGTAAAATGCCAAAAGTTGAACTTTTTCTTTTGTTCTCTATTATAGCGCTTTCAACAACATGGGTCATGTGCTACAGCAGAACTGGTGGTTTGATTTTCTGCTAGTCGCTTTGCTTGCTTGGTCTACGCTGATACCATTCTTATGCTTTCCATACACCTTAGCAGGTGACTATCAACATGTAATTAATTAAGTACAGGTCAGTAGCTTCCAGCCCCCGCTCTCATTATCACAGGATGGTTGAACTATAGTTCCCTGTGATTATACCTCTTTTACCAACCTGTCATAGAGATATAGTGTCATGCGGTAATGTTGTTAAACAAACAAAACAACACACAGCCACATCTTTTATTTATGGATCAGAATATATATATATATATATATATATATATATATATATATTTTCCTTCAAAAGTGCTCCATATTTAAAATATATAGCTAGAGGATCAGGCAGATAGCTCAGCAGACTAAAGCACCTGCTTAGGCAGAGTGCAGAAGTCAGGGATCAATTCCCAGCATGCAGTGCCTGCCCTCCCTCCAGGGTGTGCTGAGACAGCGATTGAAAGTGGTGGTGGCGCATGCCTGTAATTCCAGCGCTTGGGAGGCTGAAAACAAGAGAATCACTACAAGTCTGATCTGCGTAGTGAGACCCTGTAGACCCTGTACTAAATACGAAAATATATAGCTGGGTTTTTAAAATGAAGTATACTTAAAACTATCTAACTTGCTTTAATATTTACACCATCCCAGAGAAATTTTGTAAGAGGAAATCACTATTAAAAGTATTGAAAAATAAAAAAGCAAATGTACAGTAAAAAAAAAAAAAAAATTGCAGGGCCAGCCTGATAGCTCAGCGACAAAAGTGCCTGCTTAGGCAGAGCGCAGTGGAGAGGGTTAGATCCCCAGCTCAGGTGCTGGCCCAGCCTGCAGGGAGTGCTGAGACAGCTATTGAGACTGAGCGTGGTGACGCGTTCCTGTAATCTCAGCGCTTGGGAGCCTGCAAACAGGAGAATCACGATGAGTCCGATCTTTGTTGTGAGACTCTGTAGACCCTGCACACTCTGACCTAAATATAGAAAAAAATAATAATAATAAATTCTCTCTTGATGATATATTTCATTGGTACAGAATATTTTTAGTAAAAACAGAGCTTATTCTTTTAAAGTTTTGGACTGTACTATCAAACATGTTTGCCACTTGTCAAATGTGTCGATTTAAGATAAATTTAAAATGTGCTCAATTCTAGGAAATCCATTTCAAGTAGTTAATGGCACGAGCCGCCAGTGGGCAGCACTACTATGGCTTGTGCTATCGCATTCTCTCAATATCACAGCATCCTCGAGAAAGCACTGTTTCAGAAGAATGTGTCTTATAAATAATTGGTTTGGCCTCAGCTTGTTTGAAAATGCCTCATTAGCCTTTCCAGAGTAAATTGGGTTTATTAGGAATTGTATGTATATGTCTTGTTTGTTTTTCAATTATTTGGACAGTTCATAAGATTCTTTTCCTTGTTAACATGCAGGTACAACCAAGATAAGAGCTAGGAAACAAAGAGAGTTTTATTTGTATGAGAGCAACCTTAAATATTGGAAATTTGAAGGAAATATTAAGGATTTGTTTGGTGCTGTTTGGGTAAAGTAAAATATTCTTTGTAAACTTTCTATTTAAGATGATCAGTACAGTTTTCTAATAGTGGGCTTAAGAAAATAACCATAAGTATTCAACCTAAATTTGCACAGAAGTTTCTGAGTCTTAATTTAATTATTCATTTTCCATATAGTAGAAGATCAGATACCACTTATATAAATGGCATTGCCAAGAACTTGGCTGGTGTCAGAGACTAATACCAGGTGTTTCCTTTTAATTTTGCTTTTGTATTATTTTATGTTTATTTTCCCCTATGAAATGAGAAATTTCTTTAATGAGACAACGTGTAGGTGCCAACATTATTTTTACTGTGTTTAAGTCATTTAGAAGAATTTTAGAAGTCAACACACTTTCCCACGAACATTACATTTCATGAAAAATATCTCATCACAGTATCAAATGAAGAACTTTGGTTTCTCGAGGTAAGAAACAGGGCTGTCGTACAGACCAAAGCATGCAAATGCCAACTTCCAAACAGTTTTCATTGTAATCACCTTTTTTAAATGTTGCCTGCCCAACTGTTTTACTAAGGTATAAATTTTAGCAAGTTATTTTTCAGATTACCTTGTAGGTGAAACTCAAACTTCAAAAATAGGACTTTCAAGACTCTTGCAATAGAATCAACTATATTTTCTTGCCTCATTTTCTCAGAATTTGATTCCTTCACCCCCACAGTCACTTGCTTTTTATGTTGCAGACAGTCATAATTTTTCACTGCTTTCTATTCAGCAAGTTTTCCTTGGGTCAAATCATGACCTATGCCTTGTAGTTTATTAGTCTTCATTAAGGTTTCTTTAATTTCAATTTTATTAGAATGTTTAAGCCCGTAATTTTTAATTTCAAAATTTTTAATGCGAAAGTCAGCTATCACTTTTTTGATATGGTTAAAATGAAGATACAGTTGTTTAGTAAACACTGCACAAAATTTAAGCATGAATATTTTAAGGTTTTTGTCTTTAAAAACTTTTAAGCTTGCAGTAATTGCGCATATTCATTGGATTTGTTGTAATATTGCAGCACTTGCACACAGAATGCACCAGGTGACACCAGTAAGTCACATCCCTCCCCGCCCTTTCCCATTTCTTCGTTTCAAGCCTTGGACTTCTTGCTTCTAACTGCTCATCCGGCATGCTCTATGGTGTGTTGTAGTTGGGAACCATAGTCAGTCCCCTATGCTGTAGAAGACAAGAATGGACTCTTCTGTGTTTTGGGGCTTGTTTTCCAGCCATCTTTTCTCAGGCCTTTTTTCACTCTCCAATATTCTTACCAACTTTTACTTTTAGATTCCATGTGTGAGAGCGTACACACAGTACTGCTTTACCAAGTCGCTTACTCAACTGAGTGATATCCGTCAGTTCCATGTAATTCTGCTACAAACGACATGATTCCATTCTTCTTCATGGCTGAGTACTATTCAGTTGCTCCCACACCCACATTTGTTTTACCTGGTCATCAGTTGATGGGTACCTAGGTTAATGTCGCAGCTCAGCTGCTGTGACAAGCGCCACGATGCTCACGGTCAGGCAGGTGGTTCTCTGGCGTGCTGGTCTCATTTTCTTTGGATATTGTTGTGTTGCTCAAAGGTCTGTGGGGTAGGGCTGGGGAGACAGCTCAGCAGTCTCCGCGCCTGCCTGGAAAGCACAAGGATCCCAGTTCGTTCCCCAGTACTGCGTACCAGAACCCCGGGGCACGTCCACGTCAACCCCAAAGCCGGGCGTGGTGGTGGTCCACGCCTGTAATTCCAGTGCTAGAGAGGCTGAGACAGGAAGATCACTGTGAGTCCAGGCTGCATAGTAAGACCCTGAATCATATAAATAAATTAATTTAAACAACCACAACCACAACAAAAAAGTCTATGGGGATAAAGGCTTGCTTACCTCACGCAGCCAGGCCAGGAGTTCTAGGAAGAGGATTCTACCAAGCAGGCTCCAAAGGAAGTCTGTAGGTCAGTTAGTGGCTCGTGGGCCCTGGTCCCTTCCTTTTTTGCTTCTGTGACCTGGAATGTTGGGTGGGGCTTGCTGCTGGTGCACTCTTGCATTGACTAGCATTTTGTAGCAGGGTTAATCGAATAAGGACTGAAAGTGCTAAACTTGTGAGCCAACACGACCTCTTTATCTTTATAAATTAATTATCTCATGTATTTGTTACAGGGACTGCAAGCTGACTGAGATATATAGCTGGACCATATGGTATAGCAATTTCTTATATTTTCTTTTTCTTTTAGGAATGTGCGTTCTGTTTTCCATAAATATTGGACCAATCTACATTTCTATCAACAGGGAATTAAATTCTTTTCTCCATATCCTTGCCAATATTTATTGTTTGTCTTTTTGATAATGTCCGTTTTAACTGGAGTAGAAGGATATGTCTTTATATAGTCCTCTTGATTTTCATTTCCATGTCGGCTAATTACGTTGAGCAATTATTTTTTCAGCTATGTCCTGGCCATTTGCATTTCATCTTTTGAGAAGTGTCTATTCAGAATATTTCTCCATGTTTTTAGTTTATATATTTTGCTTTACTTTTTTGGGGTTTTTTTTTAGATTATTTATTTTGAATATTAATATTTTGTCAAATGAATAATTGGTAAATTCTGTCTTTCTCTGGTTTATGTTTTTACCCTTGTGATTATTTACTTTGCTGAACAGAAGCTTCTTTTTTTGTTTCAAACTGAAATGAGTATTTTTAATTTTAGGAAAAATTAAAATTTCTTTAAAAAGTAATAAGAGCAATGCACTGTATATCATTAATTTCAAAGCAGTTATTCAGAGTACAAATAAACCAAATTAATTTTTACAAAATGATTCTTATGAAAGAGAAGCAAACACAAGACAATGACACAAAGTTTTGCGTTCAATGAACAAAGAAATGAAAGAAATTAGCTTATGTACATATTGAAATATTTTCCATTTGTCTCCTTTTGCTTTTCCAACCTGTATCTTTGCATTCCATAAATACTGCTTATGCTGATGTCTTGAAGTATTTGCTCTGTGTGTTTTTAGTTTTATCCTTTCAGCTTTTACACTTAGGATTTTGGCCAATCTTGAGTTCATTTTTGTGCTGGGTAAGAGGTAAAGGTCCAGTTTCAGTCTTCTGCAAAAGGATGGCCAGTTTTCCCAGCACCGTTTACTAGGGCTGTCCTTTCTCTAATGTATAATTTTGTCACGTTTTTTTTTGAGACTCATTTGTCTGTAGAAAAACGAGTTTATTGCTGGGCTCTATGATCTGTTTGCTGCTGGCATAGGAGTCTGGTTTTAGACTGGTTTGTGCTCTTTTGATTACTGTGGCCTTGTAGCATTGCTGAAGTCAGATGCTGTGATTTCTTTGTTCTTTTTGTTAGAGATTACTTTGGCTGTTCATTGCCTTTTCAGCCCCCACACGAGTTTTAGGATTGCCTATTATCATTTGCAGGAAGTGAACCCCAGAGGGCTCCGTCCTGGAAGAGCATCCCCAACCATTTTTATTTTTCATTTGAAGACATGGTTGTGCTAAATTGCTCAGATTGGCTTTTAACTTGTGATCCTCATGCCTCTGCTTCTCCAGTAGATAAGAGGACAGCTTCAGGCCACCATGCCAAGGGAATGCCATGTCTTTTGTCTGCACTGAATCCCATGGGTTACTTTTTGTAGTATGAGTATATTAACATCTTTAATTCTTTCAATCCATGAATATGTGAGATCTTTGTATACTCTTCAATTTATTTCATCAGTGTTTTATAATTTTCTTTGTAGAAATTATTCATTGGGTTAAATTTTTTCAATGTATTTTTTGTAGCTACTATAATTGACACTTCTTCTGTAATTTCTTTCTCAACATTGATATTGGTATACTACACTTCATAATTAGTATATAAAAATGCTACTGAGTTTCATATGTTAGTTTTGTGTCCCACAAGTTTACTGAATTTGTTGATCAGTTCTAATAGTCTTTCAGTGGTGCCTTTAGGTCTTTAGACATAGTCATATTATCTACAAACATGGATAATGTGGTATTTTTTTCAATTTATATGCCTTTTAGCTACATTTAAAATTAGATCATAGAGAAAAAAGTAATCCTAAAATTATTTATTAATTTTACAGAGAAATTAATTTAACAGGGATGCTTAGAAATTTTATTAAAAAATGTAAATACTATGAATCCCTATTAAATAAGACTGGAATAAATTGGAAGATATAGTGCATTAATTTGTAAAATGGTAATATCTGTATATGTGATTTCTCAAATCTATGAATTCAGTGAAAGTATAATCAGTTCTATGCTATGAATTTTATTTTTTGAGTGAATGAAAACTTGATTGTAAAATTCAGATGGCTCAAAACAAGCAAAAATCATTAGGCTTAGAACATATTAAGTATTATGCAAACTATAATACTACAACAGCATTATATTTCCTCTGTACAAATAAATAAAAGTAATAGAACAGGAAGAGAACTCAGCAACAGATTCTGTGTGCTATATAGAATTTTGAAAATGATAAAATAAACACTTAAGAATAATTTAATGTATGTGATGAAAAATTGGGTTCTCTATATGTAAAATACTAGGTTAGATCTCTACCTCATATTGTGTGGAAAGGTGATTACCAGGTAAATAAAATTTTGGGCAGGTATACGAGGTGTTGAATGCAGGGCCTTTACACTGAGCTACATTCTGTTTGAACTTGGGATCTTCCTGCTACAGCTTCCCAAAATGCTGGAGTTACAGTTCTGTACTACCACACTTATAGAAAACAAAATTTTTAAGTTAATAACATAATGCTAAAAACTAGAGAAATATTTTGTAACATAGAAATGGGACAATGTTAAACAAGATTTTCATAGTGTGAATTATTCAGTATAACTTTATGGATTAGAGTACATAAAGCCAATGATTTCTAGCCAGAAAACTGTACATAATATTAATAAATGGGTAAGAGACATCTAAATCCAGGAGACGAATACCTAGAATGAACAAGGAAAACTCTACACAAAATGTTAAGGAAGACTAACAGAAATAGGAATAGTCTCTACACACACACACACACACACACACACACACCTCAAATAGCTGAGAAAAGTTTCGTTGCATTTACAATTACATAATACAAAATAAAGCTTTGTGACACTATATTTGTCTGCCTGAGATTGTTTTGAAAAGTAGAAATATTGTCAAGTACTTGAGACTTATGTAGGATGTCCCCGTTGTCCACTGCTCAATGACAGAGCGCCACAAACCTTAATGGCATAAAAAACGAGAAAAGTCTATTTTGTTAATGTTGGGAACAATAATTTCTTTAGAGACTGGTCATTGATGTAGAAATGGCTATATATATATATATATATATTCCTCTTGAGCCTAACAACATAACTGATAAGTAACATTCCCATTTCAGATGCTGCTGAAGTCTCCAGTGTTTATGTATCAAGCTCTATCCAAAGCTTCAGAATCTTTAATTATTATTGGAGCCTCTGAATTTTTGCCTATTTATTTAGAAACTCAGTTTATATTAACACCCACGATGGCAGCTTCACTTACAGGTAGTCTTTCCTTCGTATTATCATCACTTTAAAAAAATTTGTGAAGTCTTCACGTATGTACATTTATTAAATACTGTCAGCGAGCAGAAAATACAAAACTCATGTGAGTGTGGCTCTGTGGACAAGCAGTGCCACCCACAGCTGTGGTTACGCTCTCTGCTGATGTCCTGGAGGTATCAGACCAGGAGCAGGAGCTCAGCCTCCCCCTGTCTGTGGCCACCTGAGGGAAGGGTCCTTATCTGAGACCTAATGTCTTCTCTTTTAATAAAATAGAACTTTCCAACATTGTTTAAACAGAACAGGTTTGTGGCTAAAGCGGGGCTAATTTCTCCCAGATGACCCCGCAGTGTAGCTCACCAGCGTACACCTGCTGGATGTGTGCCAGGCCCTGGCTCAATCCCGGAGCTGGATGAAGGGGAGAGGAAGAGGCTGGAGGGTAGAGGGGAGTAGAGAGGACAGAGGGAAAGGGCACGAGTGTGGGAAGAGGGAGATTTTTAAGAAAAGAATAAAGTTGTGTATTAAAAAGCAAAGAAAATGATATTAATAGAATTAAAGAGGGAATAGAAAAATAGGAAAAATTGAAAAGAGAAATGGAAGAAAAAAAAAAACCATCCAACTAAAAACTTAAAAGCAAGATAAAAAGAAACAATGAGAAATAAAAGGCAACAGTAATAGGATAGATGGAGAGAGAAAAAAAATAGTAAAGCCTTTCTCCTAGCCAGGTGCTTTGAAAAGCTGCTCTCCGGTTAGCGGAGAGTCCGCCCTGCACGGAGGGGTCAGTGGGCTGCAGCTGAAGTTCATACATTCTCAAAACGCTCGCCCAACTAGTTGGGTGGAATGCAGGCTGCACCGGGCACTTCCCAGGTTGAGAGGCCGGTAGCAGCGCCGGAAGTATGTTCTCACGGCGCTTTGGGTCTGCTCCTTGGCCCGGGTGCGGGCGGATATGAACTTCCCCGCCTTCCCTCTGCTCCGGAGGTCGTTAGTCTGCGCCCCTGGCATCACGCCCATGTAGGGGGCAGCAAACCCTTCTGCTCATTGACCGCGACTTGGCAGAATGGCGTAGGCACGCGGCTTTCAAAGTGTGCATCGCGGACCTGGCAAACACCCGAGCCCTGGCCTAGTCCCAGACTGCCCGTGGCAGCAGCGACCGACGCGCCCTTTTCTGCGCTGCAGTGGCACCTTCAGACGTGGCGCGTTGACGTAACCACCCGCGGCTGGTACCGCCTCGCTGCCCCGGTGGCAGGGTCTCGGGGTCCCTGCGCCGCCGCCTCCCTCCGCGTCACAGGCCAGGCTCCTCAGGGCGCGCGCAGGCACAGGCTGGCGTCAGGAACACCTTCCCAAGCCCGCGGCTTCTGCCTGTCGGGGATCCCAACGTGCGACTATGCTGGGTTTTCTGGTCCCAGGCAGTTTAATCCCTAACACAGGTTTAATCCCTAACTCCTCTTAAAATAATCCTTGGCTCTTGCACTCTGAGAGTTTGCTGTGGAAGGCAGGGAATTTCTTCTCTTTAGGCCAGATCGTTGTGCAGACTCCAGCTCACCTATTTATTTAAGCTGCTTTCCAGAACTGTGCCAAGCCTTGAGTCTCTCTTTCACATTACTTTAACAAATTTAATCTGATGTTAGTAGATTTTTTTCTACTTAGAAGCCCTCTTCACTCAACCAGGGACCCTGGAACCAAGACCTGGGGCCTTCATTTTTCGTCCCTCCCTCTCTCCTTTGCTTCCCTAACTCCTCCCTCCCCTCCCCCTCTGGTCCTGGAATGCTGGAATGTACCAGGTTTTCTCTGCCATCAGGGTCCCTGCAGATGAGCCACATCCCTTCCTCTGTGTCTGTCCTGTGGGGGTGCTGAGCCCTGCCCCTGCACCAAGCTGACTCTCCACTTTGTTTATAATTTTAACAATTAGATTGTTTAGCACCCAAATTTCCTGTTTATTCCTTTTCATCTACCCAGTGTACGATTTTCCCTTTTATTTACTTTATGAAATATTTTGTGTTTATCTTTTATATTTTTGGACACTCTCAAATGGCTTGTTTTCCAGCCTTTGGCAGGCCTTCTGTAATCCAGACTCAGCTGGGGCTCACACGAGCTGTCTGTGCATTCCATTTCCTTTGCTATGTTTCAGCCTACACCTTCCTCTGGCCTGTGTGGATCTGAGGGGTTTGCACCAGTGTGTGAGTTTGCTGGGCTACCGCCACCTGATTGTTTTCTAACTGCATTTCTCTTCATCCTTCTTGTTTTCTGTTTTCTATTCTTTTCTATTATTTCTTGAGCTCTCTTCTTCCTAAGTCCTCATACTCGAACAGAAAACTATGTCTTCCAGGGGCTTCCTAGGTTCCAACTTTGTGTTATGAGACTCTTCATATTTCACATATATTTACAGACACAATGTGTGGCTTGTTCTCCAATCCCTGTTGGAGAGCTCTTGTCACCTAAATCATACCTCTTGCAACAAGCCACAAATCCAGTTGGCTAACGAACAATAGCTTTCAGAAAGACAGGTCCCAGGTTCTGACGGGCATGGATTAAGTTACTTGTTTGTCTTTGGTATCCTTGCCATACAGAAGCAAAATTCCACCTGGCTTCATTAGAGTGAGTAGATGTGAGTCCTCAGACTCACTCATGAAGCCATGTTTCATAAGGTCCAGGTTTTTGCAATATCTGTGACATTAGCCTCCTATCTCATCTCTAAATTTACATATGTACTTGCTGTATGTTAGAGCACAGGATATTGGATGAATGTATGAATTTTATGTATTATTAAATAATTAACTTTCCTCCTTGTTTTTAGGACTTATTTTAGTTCCAGCAGGTGCACTTGGCCAACTCCTAGGAGGCATCATTGTTTACCAGTTGAAAATGTCTTGTAAAGCACTGATGAGATTTATAATCGCTTCATCTACTGTAGCCATTATATTCTTTGGAGTAGTATTTTTTGTACACTGTGATCCAGTCAGGTTTGCCGGAATAAGTGAAAATTATAATGGGTAAGTAGAAATTTGTATAATGGACTTCTAAATCAGAACCCAAGAATAAAAGTCCCAATTACTAATTATTCAGTGACCTTGATATACTTCTATCATTGTTGTAATTATTAGACTTGTAAAAGACATAGAAAGCACAGTTTCATCTTTCACATGAAGGAAGAAATACTCTGACATCTGATGACGCAGCTGCATGGCTTGTTCATTCATAAAGCATAGAGAAAACTACATTGAAATGAACCAGAACCTAAAAGTGAAATTTTACATTAGTGCAGGGAGCAAATAGGAGACATTACTGACTTCTGGACAATGGCAGTTTTACCTTTTATTGATTTAATTTTATTGATTTAACCCATCTATTTTCTTATAATCATCAGAGAATGGATGTGAAGGACATATGGAAGCCTGGGTAGATACTAACTGCTTTACCTAAATGGCAATAATTCAAGAACTAGGCAGACAGGGATATTACATATCAGGCAACAAAACTGGAACTAGACACCAAAGGAATGAGCAAGTAAATAAGTAGAATAAGTCTTCTGCTTATAGTGCTGGATGGAAGAACAGTAGTCAAGACATGGTACCAGAGCTAGTAGCTATCCACAAATGGAAAATATTACTTTAAACTTCAATCATTATACAGACTTATTTAGACTGTAGATTAATATGTATCATAAATTGAAAGAAAAGCTATCAAATTTTTATGAAAAATAAAGCTGAAAATTTAGAACTATGTGAAAAGTTCTTAGACATATTATTACATATAAGCTATAAATAGAAAGAAAAGACACATTGTACTCTACCAAAGTTAAAAGTTTTATGTTCAAAAGACTAATGGGAAAAAACATTCTATGAAATGGACAAAAGATTTACAAACTAAATGTTTAAAAGTATAATTGGAAAATTAGTGTTAGTTCAAAATCCTTGGAACAAAAGAACACTAAGAATTTGCTATTCTTTTACTCTACTGAGAAACAAACGAAAAATATAATTTTTCCCATAATTTTATTAAGAAATAAATAGCAATGAGACAGTTTCAAATCAAATTGGTAGGACTGTTCCAATAATTAACACATTGCACACTGCCTTCCTAGTAGTTATTTGTTGTACAAGATGCAGACATGATATCCTATTTACAAACACTATTAGAACAAATCCTTCTATTCATTGAATTAAGAGAATGTAACTATATATCTATCCTAACCATTTTGAATACACAGATACAAAATGGTCATTCGTCTGTATCCCCTTTTTTTGTTTAGTTCTGTCATTTAAATATTATAGGTGTGTGAACTCAGCAAAATATTCCAAAATAGTCCAGTTCTATGAAACTATTTTGTTTGCACGTTATCATATAAAACATGTAGAGATAAATTTATCACTGATGATCAAAACTTTTATGAAGAAAGACGCCACACCGTTGATATGCATAAAACACCCAAGCTAAGCAAAAGAATGTTTATATATCTAGGTCTAAATATAATAAAGATGTTACTTCTCCGCAAATTGTAACTTCATTGCAATGTTAATAAAAATCTTAATAGAATTTTTCACAGACCTTAAAGAATTTATTTTACAATCAAATAGAAGGAAAAAATACTAAGAATATGTCATACACTTCCTAAAAGAATGTCAAGTTAGAGAGCTTCACTAAAAGAAAATCAGAATTTATTGGGAGACTAACTATTAAGATAATACCTTCTTTTTCTCATTCCTGCACTTTGTGATGCTTAGTTGTTATGCTGACTTTGGAGACTGGTGTAGCACAGCTTGATCACTTGGAATCATTCTAACCCGGTCACTTTCCTGACCCCTCCCTCTGGTCTCCATTTCCAATAGTCTAATTCTAGTTTCAGTAATCTCTCCTTTATTTTTTTCAGTTACTCACTTATAGTTTATTTTTCTCAGATAAGAGAGAGCATGTGATGCTTAACTTTCTGAGTCTATCTTCCTTCACCCAGCATGATCCTAACTGCACAGATGGTAAAAGATTTTAAAATAGTCCAGTCACATAGTCCTGAAAACTTGGAAACTTGATATATGAAAAATACAGAAAGATCATTTTATGAGGAATGCTGAGCTTTTTAAAAAAACTAGTTCTGGAAATTTTATTCATCTCACAGGAAATAAAACTTCACTTTCAACCTCCTATAGTACATAATTCTCTAGTTTGTAGAAGACCTTTAGGTCAAGAAACAAAATGTGTAATGTTTAGGAAAAAATAGTAGCGAAATACCGTTGACCTTAGAGTAAAGCAGAATTTCTAAAAGTAGATATAAAATAATTTAAATTTATAAATGCAAAACTGATATATTAGATTATAGTAAATTTGTGTCACAATTTCGTATCTATACATTTTGTCCAAAAGAATGTTTATTGCGGAGTAGAACAGCACAGAGAAGGAAGAGGAGAAGTACACCACGGCTTCTGTTCATGATCTAAGAAGTGTAGTATTCCTTATGCTCTATTTTCTGAATGCTTCTAAATATTTTATAGTTAGGAAAAGGTATATAATATGTCAATATTATATTATATTGGTAAGTCTTACCCAGTCATGGAGGTTGAATCAAACTCAGGACCTTACACTTACCAGAGGTGCTTGTTCCCTGAGCTATATCCTCAGCCCTTGAATACTATGTCTTGAATAATATTGAGTAAAATATGTCTTGAACACAACACACCCAATATGATTTAGATAAAGTGAATTAATCTACTTGAGGGAAGAAATGAATGAAGAAGAGCAAGGGATTCTTACAGGAAAATTGAATCCCATCAACAAACACACGTACGTATCTTTATCATTGGGTTTTCCGAGGGAGAAATGAGAGAAATGTGCAAAAAATGTATTTCACAACCTAACAGCTGAAAACTTGCCAAGTTTTGCGGGAGATATGGGCCTGTAATTCCAGTAAGGCCCAAGAGTCCCAGTTAGATCCAGCACAAAGGTGTCCTTTCCAAGGTGTATTATAATCAAGCTGCCAAAAGTTCAAAAGAGAGTCCCAGAAGCTACAAGAGAAAATGTCCAGCCACGTGTAAAGGAATCTCCCTGTGCAAGTATCAGCAAGTTTGTTCACAAAAAATTTTCAGACCAGGAGAAAATGGGGTAATGTATTCAGAATGATGAAAAAAAAGAGCGAGAGCTGAGCAGTGTATTTGACAAAATCACCCTTCAGAAACTCAAGAAAATGAAGTCTCAGGCAAGCAAAAGCTGAGGTAACTCATCACCTCTAGAATGGCTTCACTAAGGTTTCTTGAGGTAATCCCAAATCTACAACTAAAAGACTGATAACTCCTATCATGAAAACACAAAAAAAGTGAAACTCACTGTAGGACTGAAAAAAAAAAATCAAACCTTATCATTTAGGAAACCACCACATCACAAAAATTAACAGTAAAAAAGGGTGAAGTAATGGATATGTAAAATGACCATAGAACAGGTGACAAAATGATAGTATTTTGTTAACAATCAGTAATAACATTGAATATAAATGGATAAAGCAGCCCATCAGTGGCTGAATGGATTTTTAAAATTCTCAACTATCTATTGCCTACAAGTCATTCAATTGTCTTTGAAATACGTTTTGTTTTCACAGTATGGAAGCCAAAGACAAATAGGGTAGTAACCCTCATGGCAGGTAAAACAAAGTTCAAGTAAAAACTGTAAAAAGAGATAATATATGTTATTATATAATGAAACAGTGGATTGAGCAAGGAGATATAAAATGCCTCTAAATTATATGCATTCAATGCCCGGCCACTCAACTACATAAACCAAATGTTATCAAATCAAAGGAAATGATGAAATCCAACACAATAATAGTTGGGCATTTCAGCATTCTGCCTTTAGTAATGGACAGATCACTCAGACAGAAAACTGAGAGACATTAGGATTGAACTATACTATATTCCAAATGGACCTCACAGGTGCTATGGAATATTGCATCCAATAGCAATGGAGCACCCTGTAACTCTTCAGGATAGACCACATTGTAAGTCACAAAATAAGTCCAAATCAATTTTATTTTTTAAAATTAAAATTCTAATGGTGGGAATGCAAACTAGTATGACCATTATGGAAATCAGTATGGAGATTTCTTAAGAACTAAAATTAGAAACTGCATGTGACCCAGAGATGCCCTTGCTAGGTATCTCCCCTCAAAGAGTTTCAAGTCATCATACTACAGCGATACATGCATACTAATGTTTATAGCAGCACAATTTGTAATAGTTAAATCCTGGAAGTAGCATTTACATCAACAGAGGACTGGATAAAGAAAATGTAGTATCTATATGTGGTAGAATACTACTCATCTCTGAAGAATGACACATCTGAGACAAGTGTAGGAAAATGGATGCACCTGGAAAACAATGTTGCATGAAATAAACCAGACAAACAAGTCTAAACAGCCTTGATATCTCTCATTTGAGTGAGGCAAAGTACAAATAAATGATAAAGGATGGATAGGGACAAAGGGACAGAGTTCTTGCATCAAGGAAATAAGGGTGAGGGGTGAAGATAAGGGGAAGGGAAAATAAGAACGAAGATGTGCCATGTACAGGAACCTAATACCCAATTAAGATAAACAATGTATGTGACAACATGAGCTGAGACATTATCAACAAGAATGAAAAGGGAGATGGGGAACCAGAGGAGGAGAGGAACGGGGGAAGGAAGGAGAGGAGGATTAAAAAAAAAGGAAGTGTAATGTGAACACGTTAGTGTTGACATGTAATATGAGCTGCAATGTGACCATGAATAGGAACTCTCCGAGATGATTGTAAACTGCATAAATTATAAGTACTCATTTAATAAAAGAATATTACATAAAGTGGAGGAACCAAACATGGAAAGTAAGAGACATGCTCCTGAAAATTAATGGACCAGTAAGAATTTAACACAGAAATTAAAGTTTCTTCAAAACATGGAAATAGCACATACAAAAATCTATATTATACAGTAAAAGTGTCCTGAGAAATCTATAGCAACAACTGTCTATATAGAA